CTATTTATTAACAGTAACATCATTATGTGACTGCATCAGGATACACACACACACACACACACACACACACAGTATAATGATTATGTTTTGGTATCAATCAGTTTATCATTTGTCCTGTCAGAGTCTGGTTGTAAACATGAAACCAGACCTGCAGAACGTCCTCTTCCTCCTCCCTCACCGCCCTCTCCTCCTCTTCCTCTTCCTCCTTCTCTTCCTCCTCCACCTCCTCCTCCTTCTCCTCCTCCTCCTCCTCCTCTTCCTCTTCCTCCTTCTCTTCCTCCTCCACCTCCTCTCCCACCTCCTTCTCCTCCTCCTCCTTTCCTCCTCCTCCTCTTCCTCCTCCTCCTCTTCCTCCTGTCATGATGTATATCTTTTGACTGAATGTCCGTCAAACGTTTATGTAGAGACTCTCTGAGAGGTCAGAGGTCACACATGTTGCTGTATGTTTCAGCCTCAGCTGGAGTTCCAGCAGAAGCTGGAGGAGGAGGAGGAGGAGGAGGAAGAGGATGAGCTGATGTTTGAGGAGGACTCTGTGCTTAGTGAAGAAGAGGAGGAGGAGAAATGCAGAAGAAATTGGGTTTTGTTTGAACTGGAGTTACTGATTTGTAAAACCAGGAAGATGATTGGAAACATGACGATGGCGGGAGGGAAAGTCCTTCTGACGGGCTTACTAGGAATCACAGGTAAGAATCCAGTATGACAGAAACGTCCAATAGAATCCAGTATGACAGAAACGTCCAATAGAATCCAGTATGACAGAAACGTCCAATAGAATCCAGTATGTCAGAGACGGCCAATAGAATCCAGTATGTCAGAGACGGCCAATAGAATCCAGTATGTCAGAGACGTCCAATAGAATCCAGAATGTCAGAAACGTCCAATAGAATCCAGTATGACAGAGATGTCCGATAGAATCCCGTGTGTCAGAGACGTCCAATAGAATCCAGTATGTCAGAGACGTCCAATAGAATCCAGGATGTCAGAAACGTCCAATAGAATCCAGTATGACAGAGACGTCCAATAGAATCCCGTGTGTCAGAGACGTCCAATGGAATCCAGTATGTCAGAGACGTCCAATGGAATCCAGTATGTCAGAGACGTCCAATGGAATCCAGTATGTCAGAGACGTCCAATGGAATCCAGTATGTCAGAGACGTCCAATGGAATCCAGTATGTCAGAGACGTCCAATGAATCCAGTATGTCAGAGACGTCCAATAGAATCCAGAATGTCAGAGACGTCCAATAGAATCCAGAATGTCAGAGACGTCCAATAGAATCCAGAATGTCAGAACGTCCAATAGAATCCAGTATGACAGAGACGTCCAATGGAATTCAGTATGACAGAGACGTCCAATAGAATCACTCCTCTGTATCTTATAGTTTTCCTGTTCAGTTCACCAAAACATTTAACCATGACGAGAGTATTCATCTTGAGATGGTCGTCCCCTTCTATTCAATTTCAATTCAATTCAATTCAATTTAATTTATTTGTATAGCGTCAACTCATAACAAGTGTTATCTCAAGACACTTTACAAAAAGCAGGTAAAATAACTTACTCTTTGTCTGTTAACATTACAAAAGAGCAGGTCAAAAGACCTTACTCATTGTTATGTTACTAAAAGCAGGTAAAATACCTTACTTATTGCTATGTTACAAAGATCCGGCCTATCCATCATGAGCACTTTAGCAAAGCAGCAAAAGTTACAGTGGTAAAAAAAACTGCCTTATTAAAAGGCAGAAATCTTCGGCCGGATCCCCGGCTCATGACGAAATTAGACCGGACTGTGCCGGGGTTGGAAAGGGATAGGGGGAGAGATGGGATAAGATGCAGGAAGAGGGATAGGGAGCAAGGGGGTGGGGTGGCAGCAGTTGCGCTCAAAGGTGGAAAGATGGGGTCGTCGGAGAACGATAAAGAGAACATCCCCCGGACGCCAGAGAGATGTGCTAAACTCAACCTTGAAAAAGTGGAGAAAATGCCAAAGAGAGGAGGGAACAGAGGGCTGAAGAGGAAGCAGACAAACCTTACAGGTAAGCATTGAGCTTTCAGAAATGTAAAAGAAAAGAGTGTAATAAAACTTTGGGGTTGCATGAGTTGAACTTACTGTTCTTTATCCCAACAGATTTCTATCAGGCTAAAAAAAGAGTTGTTGGGATGCAGCGGAAATCTGGCGAGTGATTCTAATCGCAAAGGTGCCAAAACATCAAAAAGAACCACACAGACACTCAGGAAAACAACACTGTGCAAACTCACAGACTCTGCAGTTACTCATCAGGGGGTCCTGTGCCAAGTGATTCATCCGACAACAGAAGGGACCTCAGCTACATATCTTCACTACGGTTAATTAGGGTACTGTATCAATCCTGGGATTGGGGTGGGGGGGGGGGTTCCAGTGTTAAGAAGAAGGGGACATTAAGGCTGAGAAGATTATCAGTAATCTCTCAGATCAGTAGATTTATACTCATTTGGATCATTGGGATGCCTAAGTGTTGACTGACATTTCCCACTGTGCATTCCACAGTGCTGAAAACATTCAAGTATAGAAACATGACGGATGAATATATTATTTTACACACTTGAAACATATTCCACATATACGAAGGTTTGAATCATTCTGTCCTGAAAGTAAATTATGGAGTGTCTGCGGAATGATTGAAAATTGGAAGAAAATGGATGAAGCTCTTTTTGCTCATTTGTTCAAATCCACATTTTATTTTGTTTTTCTAAGATGTTTGTTCTTTCTGTGTATAACAAGGGCTAGAAGTCTTTTTTTATACAAGCACATCCTCTACAAAGTGTTTTTTACTTTATATTTCCAGATGTGCTGTTGTGTTTTCTCTACCATCATGTCCTCATAGGAAAATGCTTGAAAACTTGTGATATCATGTACATGCAAACGCTTCGCTTAGATCCTTAATGACAGAAGTGCCATCTTGTCCTCTTCCAGTCCTTCCATCTACTGTGTGTTCATTCATTTTCAGAGAAGAACTAAAACAAAAAAAAGCCCAGCCCAGACTGCCATGTCAGAGTCATGTAGTATAGGTTAGGAGCATCACACTTTGTCTATAGAAAACTTATATTTATGCTATTTAGATATATTTAGAGATTTATCCATATGATTTAAAACAGCACTCTTAAGTAGCATTATTATTAGAAAAAATAACAACATTTTTGCAGTATTGCACAAACAGATGGTGTAAACAAAGCACTCAGTTTAAAGCCTTTTGGCATGTGTTTTGGTATTTGAATCCCCATTAAGGACAATAATGAGGAAGTGTTCTTATAAGCAGTTCAATTACTAAGCTAAATGTAATCCCTTTATTCTTTCTATTTGGACGCATCGTGCAGTTATTATATAAATGCTGTTATCTGCCTTCAGTAGCTAACTTCGTTTGTTCATGACACTTATTAACGTTTATGTTGGCATACCCCGCTGCTATGGGTGACCTCAATGGGTATGGAACAAAGCTACTGTAATGGGAACTGTCACAAACTCACAAGTTTAGAAATATTTGCCACTGTTATTACAAAGCATGGCACATATCAGCTTTACCCCAAATGATGAATGCACTTCTGTTAACAGTTGCTTGTGCACATGTCCTTTATATTGTTTTGCTAAAAGCTACAAATGAAAAGATCTATTCTTATTTATTGTGTGAGACTGTGCCTTGTGTTGATTTAGTTATTTTGGTTCATTTAATTGTGGGAATTATATATATATTTCAATAAAATGTATAAATCGATCATTTTTTGTGGTGTTTATTCTTTTTAATCATTCCTTTTATCCAAGTTGGCGTGTGTGCCAGTAAATATGATAAATAGACAACCTTTGAGATTTTATAAATATTCCAGTATTATAGAGTCGTCTGAGTCATCAAATTTACAGAAAAAATACTGCAGCCATTTTTGAAACGGTAATTTTTAACAGTTCAAACAGGACGGTTTCTGTGCTTTAAAGGACACAAAACATTTGTAATAATCCAATAGCATACAAGTATCAAATTCCTGCCGGGGGTGGGGGGGGGGGTGGGTCACACAGGATGAAATGGTTACTCCAGAAGTTCCTCCTGGTCCAGGGCCTTTCTCTATACAGCTTTTTCTTCTGGCTCAGCTTCCTCTTCATCACCAAGGTTTGGTACGATGACTGCATTACTACTGAGGCTGTGTATGGTAACATTGTCATATTGACATAAAATATGTCATATTTAATTTTTTGATCACACAAGTCACTTTATATCATCACTGGTCACTTTAACTTGCCATCCACTACACATCATTCATAATTGTCCTGTATTGTTTAACTATTTATATTATTTTGTATATACATCGTATTGTTGTTTCTATCTGTATTTATCTTATCTATCCTGTGTATTTTGTATTACTTCCTTCTCTGTGTTGCTGCTGCAACGCCTGAATTTGCCCTCTGGGGATCAATAAAGTATTATCATATCCTATGAGGTGTCATTTGTTTTAATAATAACCTGTATATTTAATATTTTGAGATGTTTTTGTTTTAGAATATTTTATATATATTACTACTTGTTCCCTTTTAAGTGGCTAGTTCATGATCATGATGTCCCTGCACAGACAGACCATGACTACTTCAAAAACCTGACATGGCACAATTTGAAGGAACATCCTCAAGTCACATCTCAAACACTGTGTACTGTGGCTCTACATCACTGCAGCCCCACATCAGTGCACACTGAGTGTACGTGTTTGTTTTGGGGGTGTTTAGGGGATGAAAGGCCTGCAGCAGGCTCTGCCACAGGCTTTGCTCTGTCCCTCCCTCATGTGGCCACAGCAGCACAGAGGCACCTGCACGCCTGCGCTAAACTCTCCCATCCCCCCCCTCCCGTTCCCCTCCATCATCTGTCTCTTAGCTCCCACATCCATTATAGGACAGGACAGCTTGCATTTGCATTTAGACTGAAAGAGAGGGAGCGCGGGAGAGAGAGGTAGGAGAAACAGGGGGAGGCGGAGGGAGCATATGACACAAAGGAGGGAGAGAGAGAGAGAGAGAGAGAGAGAGAGAGAGATTAGAGCATCAGGGAGAGGGAGAGAGGGAGGCTGCAGATATCGATGGCATTAACAATGGAATATTAGGATCCACTGAGGTGATAGTCAGCCATACAACGGCTGAGGGTAAAGATATTTGAGGAGGGGGGCTCCTCCTCTCGGTGAGCACTGGGGGAGGAGGAGGAGGATGGGCCTCGAACACAGACTTGCGATGGCACTGCAAAAATTGGATTAAAGCAGTATGGTAACGTTTCTAATTTAAATCTATCGCTGTGCAGCTTTGCGTCTCATCCTCATGTGTCCTGATTCACGCTTGTTGACACCCATCGGCCACCCATCACGTCACAGTGTGTCCTAACACCGACTGAGAGAGGCACATCTCCTTATCCTCTACTCCATCTCTCCCACCCCTGTCCTCTGTTTTTTTTGATTTGCCATAGACATCTTTCATCTCCATCCTCATCGCAGACCTTGTATTTGCCTTCCGCCGTTTGGTTCATCACCGGACAATCACACGTTAGCTGTGGACATCTGCTCCGTGTTGTTATTGTTGTCTGTTCTCACCCATATGTACCGATGGATACTGCATCGCATATGTAGCTCCAGCTTTATTATGTAGCTCCAGGTCTATTATAGTCATATGTTCCCTCTTTACTACGATGTGATTGTAACCTACTTTTTGTAAAAAAAAAAATATATAAAAAAAAAAAACATTGCCTGCCTTGCTTCGCTCTGGTTGATTAATTTTAGCCCTTCTGCTCTTTCCACACTGTCACGCACATGAAACGCATATCCCCGCACAGTTCTGTCTGGGGAAAACTAGAGCAGCGTTATGAGATGTTTTTGGTGTCATGTGTGCGCCTGAGCTCATGTTTGCAATCTTTTGACGTCAGGTTGAGGGTTTATTAACAACCCTACCATCTGCCCTGCTAAAGATAAGCTATAAATATCAGTGTGACCAGGGGATCCCCTGGTGCATTAGTGAACACAGGGGAGATGCTGCTGGTTTCATCATGTTTACTGCACAGGCATAATGGTTGATGCTAGAATCCAAAGATTTGCCTTCATGGACCATCAGCAACGTTTCACATTGTATTCTCATGTTCATCTCTAGAAGGAAAGATAGGCCAGAGTAGGTTTGTTTGTAGAGTCTGAGGCTATGCAGGGCAGGAAGCAGCGTTGTTATGTATCATCTAATTAATGCATGATGGCCTTTCTGTGTACTCTCTGATTCCTCCACAAAATCAATCATGGGCATGACCAACAGGGGTGGAGAGTAAATAACTGCAAGTCATTTCAGAAGCCAAAGTAGAACGAGGTACAGTATGAGTTATGAGTTATTTTAAGAGTCCCCCCCCCCCAGCAAAAACAGCACCCATTTGGTCAACATTTTTTAGAGACAATAGAGACAGAGTTCTGAGAAATGCTATTTTTTGTCAGGTGTTTTGTTGAGTTCATAGGCCAGAACCGTTTCATTTTAACTCAAGTAAATACTGCATAATGTTCATTCTTTATTTATTACTGAAAACCTCAGTTTGTGATAAGTAACACAACCATTACATTCATTTTAATCAGGATGCAATAAACCTCTATAACTATTGAGTAGTTTCATAAATGGGATGTATCTTGTACTTGAGTTCAGTTTAGTTGATTGCACCTCATCTATAGTAGTTTTCTACTCTCTACCCCTGATAACCCCTCACTGCCCTTTTTGCCCCTTAAGCTGGACAAGAGTGAGGTGGCAACTCTAGGCCTACCCCCCAACACCAGCCATGGAGGCTCTGACAGTAACATCAGTGCAGATGGAGTGGGGGCAGCGGCAGCAGCGGCAGCAGCAACATCAGCGTCAGCGTCAGGGGTCACAGCAGGCAGTGCAGAGTGTTCGGGGGCCGGCGAGCCGCAGCGGACCCGTGTTGCTCTGGAGCACTTGCAGCAGAAGGTCCTGAAGGTCACCGAGCAGATCCGCGTGGAGCAGGAGGCCCGTGATGACAATGTCGCAGAGTACCTGAAGTTGGCCCACAACGCAGACAAACAGCAGGCATCCCGCATCAAGCAGGTGTTTGAGAAGAAGAACCAGAAGTCCGCACAGACTATCGCACACTTGCACAAGAAACTAGAGCACTACCACAAAAAACTCAAGGAGATAGAACAGGTAGGTGAGCAGGTGCATTTTGTAAACATTTGGTGTCTTTATTTAAGGGCTGTGTGACTGTCACTAACAAGTATCAGGACTGATGATTTGAATCTCCTAACACTTGTTACAACCAGTGCATCACCTGGTTTCTCAGCATTCCTCATCTCTCATCCTAAAACCTTATCACCTCTCTCCTACCTCTGAGATCCTCCACTTCTCTGCTTCCTCACTTCTCTTCCCTCTCTGCAGAACGGACCAGCCCGCCAGCCTAAGGATGTCCTGCGGGACATGCAGCAGGGATTAAAGGACGTCGGGGCCAACGTACGAGCTGGAATAAGTGGTTTTGGAGGGGGAGTAGTTGAAGGAGTCAAAGGTGGAGTATCTGCCCTGACTCACACAGCTGTGGTCTCCAAGCCCAGAGAGTTCGCCAGTCTCATAAGGAACAAGTTGGCAGCGCAGATAACA